CCAGGCAATTCAGAACTCCCAGGTGACTCCGCGGCACCCATGTGACTGCATCCGCGTTGCATGTTGGGAGCACTGGGGGGGGGGGGGGGGGGGGGGGACATGATAATGTCTGAGGAGGCTCTTACTCTAAGCTACATTTCCCCAAGTGACCACGGGTGTGCAGCGGAAAGGGTTCCACAGATTCCACCTGGAGTCGTCAGGGAGTTTGGAACTGAGGAAACCCGGGGTGTTGACAGCGCTTGCGCGGCGCGGAGGAAACCTCCCCCCCCCCACCGGGGTGTTGACAGCGCATGCGCGGCGCTGCTTCGCACGTTTGGCCAGGCAGAGGCGAGAGACTGCGGAAGTGCGGGCGTGAGTGCGCACGCGCATGGCCGTGAGTCTCGCGTCCTCCCTGGTGTGTCGCCCACGTGGTAGGTGGTGAGGCTGTGACCCATTCGAAGGAGAGTTTGGCCGGCAGTAGGTTGTGAGTTCGTGTGGGAGCCGCGGCTCTGGAGGAAGAATGTGGGTCGCTGGTTTACAGTGCTTCCTCTGGACTCTCCGTGCACCCACATGGAATTTGTGCGCAGGAATGACTAGTGGAGCGCCCTCCAGTGTGCGTCAATAGCGGAGTTTGCAGCAGTGAAGGGCACAGTTGGGTTTGTCCCTGAGATGTCAGGTAGTCTGAACGGAGTTGCAGGTGGCCTCGGGACAGGACCCTATGCGTATGCCCAAGGAGTAGGAAACACCACCAGGCCGACTCCCCCCTCCCCGGAGGATTCCCTTGAGAACGCGGTGGAATTCCTTTTACATTTCAAGCCACAGCATTGCCAGAGTTCTGGCCCAGGAAACCTGATGTAAACCTAGAGACCTATTGCTGGCTTTCCCCCTCTTCCCTCAGGTAAGGTGATGGAGGTGAGGACAGGTGTGACCCTGGAGTGTTTTTGAACTTCAGTTGAGGTTCCAAGAAAGGCCTGATGGGTCGCAAGTCTTTAGGAGGCGGAAAGCACTGTCCTTACACATCTAAAAATCAGGGTGTGAGTGAGCTTAAACTTCCCTTTAGCTCATAAGATAGTTTCGTGTCTTTGTTTTCTAATAATTTATTTGAAAGACTAGAATTAGCCATTGTAAGTGTAGTTCTATGGGTTTTCATAAATTCACCCTTTGTACCACCGTAGTTAAAATACAAAACACTCCATCTCTCACCTCCGAGAAAACAACGTCCTAGTGCTCATTTGTTGACAAACTTTCCCCCGTTCTTAACCCTCTCATCTGTTCTAGTTCCCTGTACCTTATTTTTTCCAGAATGGCATATAGATGTAGGCTTTTGAATACTGTGTTTAACATGTAATGCTACATTTTGAAATTTTAGTAATTGTACTTGTCCTCCAGAGTTCTGAGATTTCAAATTTTCAACAGTACCCAGTACACCTCGTGGCACACATTAGGCCTTCAAAATAGAGAGATTCCATTATCCTTTTCAGGTGCGTAAGCTTAAGCAGGACCCTGCTTCCATTGCTTAACTTGTGTCACTTGTACAATTGGAAGGATGCTGGGAGAAGTCATTGAATGTGGTAATAAGGATTATGAAATGACACTCATCTCTGCTGTGCTACGAAAACAAGCGTTAGCATGGAGAAATGGACAAAGACTGGATTTCATTTGCCTTTAAAAAAATTTTTTTTTCAACGTTTATTTATTTTGGGGACAGAGAGAGACAGAGCATGAACGGGGGAGGGGCAGAGAGAGAGGGAGACACAGAATCGGAAACAGGCTCCAGGCTCTGAGCCATCAGCCCAGAGCCCGACGCGGGGCTCGAACTCACGGACCACGAGATCGTGACCTGGCTGAAGTCGGACGCTTAACCGACTGCGCCACCCAGGCGCCCCTCATTTGCCTTTTAATTAAGCACAGTACTGTTATATTTTTCTTTCCTAATATGTGTTGGAAGTCTAAGCATGTGGAAACAATACCCGTAAAAAGCAAAGTGGGCATTTGGGACTTTCATGGATTATTAAAACAAAAGCTTACACGTTCTCCTCCTGTAAGTGGTCATTACAATTTTCCTTGTTTGAGGATGTCTAATAAATTGGGATATCGCTCATGTGATACCCCCAGTCTGCAGCTCACTTCACTGATTCCTGGATAGCTTTCCCTTTTACCATCCCTACCTCTCCTCCTTGCTTCTATTAGGAAATCAGAGTGGGCTTGCATAGCTATTGCTCTGCTCACAGAAGACTGGAGGGGGTAGAAGTATGAGGGTAATGTGCAGCTTCCTTAAACTATGAGAAACTCTGGTTTTCTTCAGAACAAATCTCAGTCCACATGCCGGAGTCCCAAAATGATAGTAACAAATATATGAGGCAATTTCTTTTTTTTTAATATGAAATTTATTGTCAAATTGGTTTCCATATAACACCCAGTGCTCATCCCAACAGGTGTCCTCCTCAATACCCATCACCCACCCTCCCCTCATTCCCACCCCCCATCAACCCTCAGATGGTTCTAAAAGTTATATGAGGCAATTTCAAATTCTTTCATGAGGATGTTAAATACAAACACCCATACAGCGTGCTTCAAATCAATATGAACTGTCTGGTCCCAAATACCGGTGCCCAGTCTCATCAACATATATAACACACCCTGACATTTTTAACCATTGTGAAAATGAGGGTGAACTATATCTGTAATTTTATGGGAAATGGTTAGTGTTAACTCCGCGAGTGGAGGATTGTTTCTGTATCATCACCCACTATTTACCAACACTTCTGAGCAGTTCCAGAAAGTATCTAAGGCATACTAAGTGGTGTAAGTATACATGAATCAATGGTGCCTTCATTCACTGAGGCCTCTCTTCTTCAGTCTGTGTGCCTATTATCTCGTCACGGTTTATATTTTACTTCACTTTGCTTTTATATTATCCAATAAAGTTTAAGATATTTTCTCATGAGAATCTTTTTATATCATTTGCTAGACTTATTACTTAATTAAATTGGTAAAACCATTATTTAAAGTTTTTACTATTGTGAATAAGAAGTTACATTGATAAGATTGTAACAATATACAAAGTAAGATTTGTTAGGATGAAAACTGCCTACATTTGTATGCACCTGGTAATATTGACTCAAAATTTACAATTCTTAAATTCACAAAGTTACAAAGTTTCGACAACTCATAGATGCAATGTTTTAATATCTTTTAAGTAAATTAAAGACATTGACATTTATTAGTATACATTTTAAAACAACAGAATATTTCTCAAACATTTTATACATTTATATAGTGCACAACTCATATGGAAACAGTTAATTGAATATTTCTCATAAACACTGAATTTGTTCAACCAAAAAAAAAATTCACATTGTGTCTAATCACACATAATCAATCTTAATCATGGAACATATCCCGAGGGATTGGATTTAGTGCTGAGTAACAGAAAACCCACACCGTCTACCCAATATGTCAGTAATGCTGATTTATTTTATAGAAATACTGGGTCAGGACAGCTGCTCAATCATGCTGTAGGGAAACACAGTCCCATATGTTCTTATGGATGCACCACTGCAGACACACAGAAGCATGAGAAGTATTAAGAGAATGAGATGTTCACTATACAAATCAGACTTTATATGAATATGTTAAGATCTAGGGAAAAGGGGTCAGAGCATTAGATGAGATCAACGGCCATGACATCCTAATCAGTGGCCTCGTGGACAGTGTAGGGCTTTCAGGAAAATGCAAGCTGTGGACATCTGACCGTGGATGTGCATCCATGCTGGAAAAGCTGGTAGGGTGTCTGTAAAAGCCTACACCTCTGACAAAGTAGAAGTCACGCAGCTGGTATTTGTTTTGAAGGTGCTTTTGGTTGGCAAGGCCGGCAATCAGGAAAATAAGCTGGAGATGGTACCCACGGAGTCCCTACGCGTCTGTCTATCTCCCTATAGAGTGGTGGCTCAATACACTGAAAGGCGCTTCTTTCAAATCTCATGCAAGCTGGGCTATTACAGAATTCTATCATGGAACCAAACAGAGAAAGCATCCTGGGAAGTGGTAGTTCCTAGCCCTTCCTATGTGGCGAGGACACATTCCAAGAGAACCATATCCACCTCTAGATTTCACGGTCTTCTTCATTCAAATGTATTGTCCACTTCCTAACCAGAAGCTAGGACAAAGAGCATACAGCAACAGATGGAAATAACAATTCATACGAAACTATACTCTTGCAAGCTCTCTGCATACCTACAAATTTCTAGCCAATTACATATTCACAAATTTGCATGCCAGCAAAATGGAATAATGGAATAACGATCCTCTGGCCAAAAAAAAAAAAAAAAAAAAAAAAAAAAGGTGTTGAGAACATATACCTTATGATGTAAGTAAAGAAGTGTCAACTTTAAGTGTCAAGTTGTAAGTTCTCTCAGGAAGATAGTAAAATGGAATATATGTATGTAATGGGAAAGTGATACCCAGCTTGGAACATACTTGGCCAGTAAGAAAATCCAAACAAATACCAATGTCACATTAGTCTAAAGGCCCCATACTTACAGAACAATTTTAAAACTATGTAAAATTAAACCTAATGCATATTTAAAACACATCAACCACCCGTGGGTGAATCACACTTCAAAATGGATGCAGAAATATTAACTGAATTCATGAAGGGGGAGAAAACCTACAATATATCAAAATTCATGTACTGTGTAGATGTACTCAGAATACTTGAGAATTTTCATCTCAATGTTTAGTTGAACGAGACATGGAAATTCACTTGCCAGAGGTCCACAATAAGGATGAGATACTGAGCACTACTGTGTAACTTTTATAATATTTCTCTTCTGGTGTGGATTTTCCAAACTATTTTACATGAATTAATATGCATTAGGTTTTCTTATATTTAGAAACTTTTTTTTTTTTAATATGGAACGCTTCACGAATTTGCGTGTCATCCTTGCGCAGGGGCCATGCTAATCTTCTCTGTATCGTTCCAATTTTAGTATATGTGCTGCCGAAGCGAGCACGAAACTTTCTTTTGACTGTGAGTTCTCACATGACTACGAAACGCTTTGAGACAACTGAAAGTTTTCCCACATTTTTCACACGTCTGAGGTTTCTCTCTAGTCTTTATCCTTATGGTTTTAGAAGGATTGGGACCAACTGAAGGCTTTCCCATATTTTTCACACTTAAAGGGTTTTTCTCTAGTCTGCATTCTTACATTTTTGGAAGGATGACTGAAAGCTTTCCCACATTGCTTGCATTTATGGGTTTCTCACCAGTGTGCTTTCTGTCATGTTTGTGTAAGGATGAGGACCAACCAAATGCTTCCCCACATTTTTCACACTCATAGCGTTTCTCTTCAGTGTGCGTCCTTACATTTTTGGAAGGATGAGGGCCAACTGAAGGCCTTCCCACGTCGCTTATGTTTACACGTTTCTCTCCAGTGTGCATTCGGACATGTTTGTGTAGGGATGAGGGCCAACCAAACGCTTTCCCACATTTTTCACATTTATAGGGTTTCTCTCCATTGTGAATTCTCACATGTCTCTGAAAGGATGTGAGCCAACAGTAGGCTTTCCCACACTGCTTACATTCATAGGGTTTCTCTCCAGTGTGCATTATCGTATGTACTCGAAAGGATTTGGGACAGCTAAAGCCTTTCCCACACTGCTTACATTCATAGGGCTTCCCGCCATTGTGCATCATCACATGTACGCGGAAGGATTTGGGGCAACTGAAGGCTTTCCCACATTCCTTACATTCATAGGGTTTCTCTCCAGTGTGACTCCTTATATGTCCAGTGAGGGAGTGGGAACGAATAAATGTTTTCCCACAAAGTTTACAGGCATAGGGTTTCTCTCCACTGTGAGTTTTCACATGATTCCTTAGGTAGGAAGAACAACTGAACACTTTCCCACATTCCTCACACTGATATAGTTTGCGTCCAGTATGACTTCTTTTGTGCCTCTTAAGGGATGAACGATGCCTGAAGACTTTTCCACACTGAATGCACTCATACAGTTTTACTCCAGTAGGCGTTTTCTGGTTCAGCTTAAGACTTGGAATATGGTTGGTGGTTTCTCCACATGTATTACCTTTGCTACTGTCACAGAGTCTCCCCACCATATGATTTCTGCTAAAAAAAAAAAAAAAAAATGGAGGGGGCACATTATTAATGGTTTGTGTATTAATTATTTATTAATATTTGTTAATGAGCTCGAGGGTTACATTTTCTACCATTTTTCTAAATATAGGTTTTCTGTCCTGTCGGAATTAGTTCAAGGTGGAATAAACTAAATGCTCTGAGAGTGGGCTGAGGCACAGCCCATTACCACAACAGCATTTCTCACATGTACGGTTCCATGGTCATTGTTTTCCACCAAATTATTTTTCAAACGCTTAATGTCTGAGTCACATGAAGGAAAAAAAAGGGAGGGAATGATTTGTGAATAAACAAATCTGGAGCTAGGTTTATGGGTCTCTTGTTTTTGTTTTTTAATTTCATGAAATAGTAAGATTCTCTACTGGGATATTGCATTTTCTCCTAAATGCAACTCACCTCAAATGTCTCCCCTGGTTGTTGTGCTTATCTTCAATGCACTGGTCTTCCCAATTTTCTCCAAAAAGGGAGGTCCAGGAATCATTTTTTGTGAACCTTGCTATTTTCTGCTCATTGGATAATTTTTCTCCAAAAATAACCTGCTGAGAAGTGGACCCATTGGTTCTAAGTTGATTCTCATCATCTAAAACAAAACAGTGAATAAATCTTATGAAAAAGGCAACTGTGAGAAAAGAAATACATTCAGGAGTTCAGTGTTTCAAAACTTAATTATTAAGAGACACAAGAGGGGTTCCTGGGTAGCTCAGTTGGTCAATTATCTGATTCTTGATTTCAGCTCAGGTCATGCTCTCACATTTCATGGGTTCAACCCCCACACTGGGCTCCACATTGTCAGTGACCGAGAACACTGTTAGTGTGGAGCCTGATTGGGATTCTCTGTCTCTCTATCTCTCTCTCTCTCCCTCTCCCTCTCCCTCTCTCACTGCCCCTCCCTGCTCATGCATGCTCTCTCTCTCTTAAAATAAATAAATAAAATTAAGACAAAGAGGCACAAGAAGTCAAAATAGTAGGCAATTTAATATGCACGGAAAAAAACACAAGGTTTCAAACAACAAGCTTCTTCATTCCCACAAAGTGACCCACGGGTATATACACATACTGAGGACAGTGAAGAATGCTGTCTTTTAAACCAGAAAGGAAGAAAAACACAGGTCAATATATAGATTTTTACCGTCACTGAGAAACTGTTAGATTCTAGGTCTGTGACGGCTGTGATCACGCCTGTCTTATTTTCCAATGCGTCTTCCTTCCGCATTCCAGATTTTGAAATGGGCTTAATGAATGAGAAATAGTTGTTATAGAAATAACTAAGTGAAGGATTGATGCCACCCTTACCTACTGTGACCAGGTTCCTGAAGGTTTCTAGCATCACATCTTTGTAGAGCTTTTTCTGAGCAGGTTTCAGCAGGGCCCACTCCTCTTGGGTGAAGTCCACAACCACATCCTCAAAGACCACTGAGTCCTAAAACAAACCACAGATGTGTAGGAGAATGGGTAATACAGGGGAAGTGGACTCAAATTCACCGGAAGTTCCAACAAGATTCTATGGTCTCCCCACATCTAATCTACATCCACACTCACTTTCTGTATCATGGTCTTAACACACCACTAATACATTGAACTTGTCCCTCTCTCCATTTTTACTGTGACCCTTCCTGTGTGATCCCTGCCTTTTCACAGAGTCTAGAATAGTCCAAAACACATTGGAAAAATTAGAGAAATGCTATACAAATGAAACAAATATTTCCATTTTATGACCACCAATTCCTTGTGACAAAAACTATTTCATCTGTCTCCTTATTGCCCACCGCATTGGTCAGCACTGCATAGGTCCCAAGTTCAAATTGAAACGGGACTCTAATAAACAAAAACGCACTGAAGTTTTTCCTTCATTTCCCCTCACCAACAAGAGGCCCAAGGTGGAAACCCAACTTGCAACGTGGGCCAGCCGATCCTGTGTCTGGATGTACTCTAGGCAATTCAAAGTAGGTATGTCCAACTAGGAGCATGAAGGCATTTTTCCTGGAGAAATGCTAATATTAACTTATATGTGTATTACTTATGTATATCATTTATCACAGAATCAGTTGCTACTCTTTCTTCCTTTGTGTGCCCTTGAGACAGAAGAGGTATTGAGAAAGAGGAGGAGAGAGGAAGACAAGATAACTCAGAAGGAGGGAAGAAGCCATGAGAACTTAGACCTTTCCATAATACCCACATTCATAAACCTTGGTGTCGGTATGCATTAATTTTGAGTACGCACACACGCACGTGCACACTGAGGTTCTAAGATGCCAAAATAGCTCTTTCCACCCAAGACTGCTGGTGCCTTGATCTTGGACTTCCCAGCCTCCATACGCGAGGCTTCCCATTTCTCCAATGTGAGAAATACATTTCTGTCATTTCTGAGCCACTCTTTGGTGTTTTGTTATAGCAGCCTGAATGGGACGAAGACACATAGCCAGAGACTGGAGCAAAGTGAGATGGGAAGTAAGTCAAGAATGGTGGGGAGTGCTGGGAGGTTGGGCCCATCGTCTTGTGGGGAACTAGTCAGATTCGATTCTGTGAGAACTGTGGAGCTACTTCAGGCTTTTGCACAGAGGAGTGGTCTCCTCTCTAGCTTTAATGATCCATCACTTGTGTTGAGACTAGACTATGGGGAATGGATGTACAGACCAGAACACCTGTTAAGAAAATAAAGCCATAACCGGGTGAGAGGAAGGTGGGTCGGCCAGGGTGGTCACAGTGGAATGTATAGGGGAAATATTGGGAAGGGCTACAGATTCCTGATGGACTGAAGTTGGGGCAAGACAGAAGGAGAGGAGTTGATGACGCTGATTATGTCTCACAATAAAAACTGAAATAATGGGGGCGGCTGGGTGGCTCAGTCAGTTAAGCGTCTCCCTTCAGCTCAGGTCATGATCGCATGGTTCCTAAGTTCAAGCCCACATTGGGCTCACTTCTTCCACATGGAGCCTGCTTCAGATCTTCTGTGGCCGCCCCCCGCGCGGCCCCCCCCCCCCTTGGGGGCTCTCCCAAGAATACAAAAAAAACATGTAAAAAAATCTCAAAAAAAAAAACAAACCCCAAAACCCTGGAAAGATGGAGTTTCCATGAACTGAGATGTAGAAGGCCATATGTAGACGAAGGTCTTGGGGAGAGGATGAGAAATTCCTAACAGGCAATACCAACATGGGAAGAACGGTAAGACATCCAAGTGGACACATGCGTTAATAATGTCTTCAGGGGGCGCCTGGGTGGCGCAGTCGGTTGAGCGTCCGACTTCAGCCAGGTCACGATCTCGCGAGGTCTCGCGTGATCTCGCGTGAGTTCGAGCCCCGCGTCGGGCTCTGGGCTGACGGCTGGGAGCCTGGAGCCTGGTTCCGATTCTGTGTCTCCCTCTCTCTCTCTGCCCCTCCCCCGTTCATGCTCTGTCTCTCTCTGTCCCAAAAATAAATAAACGTTGAAAAAAAAAATTTAAAAAAATAATAATAATGTCTTCAGGAGCACCGGTCAGAATGGCAAGAATTTGAAAACACCCAAGTAGCCACTAGTAACAGAGTTAATAAATAATGGTGGTATATCCTTGCAAGTGAATACAAGAGATCAATTAAAGGTTAATTAACTATTATTACCACACAGATGACCGTAAAATAACTTTAAACAAAAGGAATCTTACCTAAAATCTTACCTAAAATCTACACTGCGATTCCACTTACATGCAACGTGGGACATGCAAAATTAGAGTATCTTTATTTAATGCTGCATACACAGGTGCTAGAAGAACGGACACTGCCTTCACACCATTCAAGATATTGGTTACATCTAGAGAGTGAGGAGGGTCACTGGGAATCATTTCCAGTGGGGTGTCTGATGTCAAGCACTGTTTTAGCTCTAGGGCTGGATTTTACTTCACAGGTGTTTATTTTTTATTATTGCTATAGACTGTCCAATATGTCTTATGTACGTTTCTGCATGTATGTTATACTTTGCAATGAAACATGGTAATCAATTAACACAACTTACCTGACATCATCTTAAGAATTACAGAAAATGATTTTATACTGTTCAACAGAAACACATGAAAAAAAAAAAACTCATACTGCAGGGGAACCAATGGTAAGACGCATAGCCCAATAAAGAGCATAGTGGTGGGGGGTGGGAAGATTATTCAAAAAGGAATATATAGGGGCCTCTGGGTGGCTCAGTCGGTTAAGCATCTGAGTCTTGATCTCAGCTCAGGTCATGACCTCACAGTTTGTGAGTCTGAGCCCTGCGTTGGGCTCTCTGCACTGGCAGTGGGGAGCCTGCTTGGGATTCTCTCTCTCCCGCTCTCTGCCCCTCTCCTGCTTGCATGCGTGTGCATGCACATGCTCTCTCTCAAAATAAGTAAACTTTTAAAGAAGGAATATATAAATGGTGTGAAGTTTTTCTACCAAAAAAAAATGTACAAAACTAAGTTCCTCTTGCCTCACTCCTGGTCAACATTACATGAAAAAGCCAATCCAGTGCCACAAGAAAATAAACAAATGTGCAGAATTACAAAAGAATAAAAAAGATCACTGTTATCCTTAGCACTAAGAAGCCTCTGCACAGGACCCCGACAGAACAAGAAGAACCACAAAATGAGATTTTTAGCACGATTCTAGAATAGATACACAGGACGAAAATGAAACTCATCACCTTTCCGTTTCATAACAACATTAAGTTGGAAAATTCATGTCAAAAAGTGAACACGAAAGCCATCATTTCAAGCCTCTGGAAACAATCCTTACTAAGGACATACAGCTGAAGAAACGGGTATTCAAGAAACTATGCGAATTCAGTACCAGAAATTAACAGTTTGGTATTTGAACCAAGACCACTCTCTCTCTCCCTAGACTTCCTTTTCTGACTGCAGCCAAGAACACAGGACCCCTGTCCACACAGCTCCCAGCCAGAAAAGGAGGCTGTCAGCATTTCTCATCCTGCCCCAGTTAGCTGCTGCTGAGTTTAAGCTCCAAGCAAGTGCAGTCGACAGGAGGGCCTCTCTACTTCCGCCAGCCCCCGCTTGTAGAAGGGGGGCTCTACAGTGGGTACAGGGGATGCTGAGAATACGGGGACCTGATTGTTCTTGTTTTGCCTAAGGCGGAGGTTCTGCACTCAGGAGAGGCAAGCTGAGAAGACATCAAGCAAATGCTCTTCCTCCACTTAATGCTCAGCTCTTTTTTTTTTTAACACGTATTTATTTTTGAGAGACAGAGCATGAGCGGGGGAGGGGCAGAGACAGGAGGAGACAGAATCCGAAGCAGGCTCCAGGCTCTGAGCCATCAGCGCAGAGCCCGACGCGGGGCTTGAACTCACAGACCGCGAGATCATGACCTGAGCCGAAGTCCGGCGCCTAACTGACTGAGCCACCCAGGTGCCCCAATGCTCAGCTCTTAAAGTGGACTTGTCACTCAGGTGGAGGTGTGCCATTGTCCCCACTTCAACGCAGCCCTCTGGCTCAGAGATTCTTGACGAGGAGGAAACGCAGGCTGTAAAACAGATAGCTCCTAGTCTTTCCCCCCAAAGAACTGACTTCATTTATAACAGAACATGGAGATTCCCAAGCCTAAGGTTGCTCTCAAAAACAGTGGAAGTTGTAGTGAAAGGCAACAGGGAAGAGATTCAAGATACAGGCAAAACTGTGGCCCCCTTGTTTTCAGGGGACAAATAGGGAAAGAGGACGCTGGGAGGAGCCCCTCAGGGGTCTGAACGATCAACAAACACTAACCTGTGCAGCCATTCCTTCAAAGGAGTCCAAATTTGAGTGGATTAGTCGATAGAGCAATGTACGCACCATGGCATGTTCAAAACAATAAAACAGTCAGCCTACAACTAGTGGAGATTAACAGCTAACAGCGGTTGGTCGAGAAAAAAATGAAGAAAACCCTGCCAACACTACTGCCATCCCAGGGTGACTGAGGAGAAACATCAGAGGCCTACTACTGAAGGGGTTGGGAGGAGAGGAGTGAAATAGACTTGACTAAAATAATCCAGCCAGTCACCAAGCAAACACAAATAAACAACAGTCAGGAAGCCCAGAAGACAGGGGCCAGTACCCAAAGTTGCTACAATATATTATCTATAGTGTCCAGTTTCCAACAAAAAATTACAAGGCATGCAAAGAAAAAGGACACTGTGACCCTTACAGCAGAAAAATAAGCAGGGGTCGGGGGGCACCTGGGTGGCTCAGTTGGTTAAGCGCCCGACTCCAGCTCAGGTCATGATCTCACGGTTCCCAAATTCAAGCCCCGCACCAGTCTCTGTGCTGACAGCTCAGAGCCTGGCGCCTGCTTTGGACTCTTTCTCTGCCCCTTCCCTGCTCGTGCTCTGCCTCGCTCAAAAATAAATAAAAAAATTTTAAAAATTGTTTTGTTTTGTTTTTTTTTAATTTTTTTTCAACGTTTTTATTTTTATTTTTGGGACAGAGAGAGACAG